TCGATCAGTGGAGCAACAGACTGATCAAGAGCGAACGATGTGGAGGAAGAGGATGGCTTCGCGTAGCGTAAAGTAGAAGTAGTGTCCGAAAACGAATCATGCCAAATATCCGAGAATTGAAAGGGTGCGGTTGATGTGAACGGTTGCGCTGTGACGGTCTGCGAATCGGATTCCGAATGCGAACTCTCCGCATGGTCACTGGTATTGCCATCCTAAAATAATCGTGATTTTTTTGCTAAAGAATTAACTGAAAACCGATTAAATGTAATTGGATATCAAACTGGGTACTATAAAAATAAAACTGAATATTACGCAAAATATAACAAGAAAGCGATAAGGGATTAAAGAGATTAACAACAACATTTAATTCCCTACCTCACCACTCCTTTTTCCCCCTCTTTTGACTTTTCTTTTCTCTTCTAGTTCTCTTTAAAATTTTCCTTTCAAAGATTTAATATATTAAGTTAATAATTTACATCAGCATTAATTATCATGGCCGTCGTAATATATCAAATTCCAGTAATTTATATCATCATTAGTTACGACAGCCTGACCAGGCCCAGGTGTGGTGCTGATTGAGATGTATGCGAGTTAATGGACCGAAACACTCCATTTCAGTGTATTGTTCTTCTCAACTTTTATCAATTTACATACTTCTTTCATTTTTTACTTTTAATTTAGATTTGCCTTATTTTGCTTAAGTATAAGCTTATTGCGTCTTATAAATCTGATTTTTTTATCTGTTCGTTATTATTTGTACGTTTTCTATTTCACTAGCTTGTAACTTTAACATGTTTGATGTATTGGTTATAATAAAATGAACCACATCCTTATGTGTAGTTGAAACATGCTTAGAAGGCAGTCTATGTGTTTCATCCCTTAGCTGTAAAAACCGCTCTGCGCTCAGCATGTGGGAAGAAGTGGAAATCATCAGTGCAGCCTTCTATTCGCTATGCTTACGATGAGCATATATCCAATTCTTCAAGACCGCATTTCCTCGTCTTTTATTGTAACTCACTGGAAATTCCATAAGACTCAGCAGACTTCGAATACAAGATGGAATTGTATGTTTTTTATGCATTCCGAAATTTTTGTGTCGCTATGATGGGTTTGCAGGAACATCCCAGTAACATCACTAACATGGACTAATCACAGTGATTCTTCAAGCAGTCTTGGTATTTTTGATAAATGCGCGTAACAGACAAATTTTTTTTTTTAAATCAGATTTCTCTAGTTCTAAAAATTTTGTATGATAAGTGATAGGTGCAAGTGGAGCGGTATGTGTATGTGTCCGTGCGGGTTGAGGATGAGAGGGTAGCAGACCACAAGAGTGAGTCAGCTTTGTCCAGACCCTCCTGGAACCATTTTTTATGGCTGTCAAAATTCCA